TTGATGTAATTCCGCCTCTCAACCACTAGGTGTCACCTCTCTTTGGCACCATCTACAACTCCCTGCTCTTCGTGGCGAACGCAGTGGAGCGTGGGCGGCGGAGCGGGCGCTGGGTGTCCGGCACGTCGGTGGCACAGCACGCGCGGGGCTTCGAGTTCGACGGCTTCTGCCAGCGGCTGTGGGTGGGCGAGGAGGGGGCGGGGCTGCAGGCCCGGTTCGTGGTTCTGGACAGCGACGGCTCGGGCAGCACACTGCGCCCCACGCACACGCTCACACCCAGCACTCACGGCGGGTCCCTTGTGCCCACCGGCCGCAGCATGCACTTCCCTGGGGGCTCCACGCCAGGCACCGACTCCGGCTGCTGGTTCGACTCCAACACCATCTGCTCCGGGGGTGAGTCGCACTGCTCCCCCACTGTCGTCCTCGCCCACTCCCCCCGTCCTTCTGTCTCTCAGCTTGTCCTCCTCGCCATCTCTGTCTCTGTCACTCACACAACCCACGGATTAAACTCAGCTCTCGCTTTCTTTCCTCCCTGTCTCCCTTCTCCCTCTTTCTCTCTGTCTATCATCCCTCTTTCCTGCCTCTCTCTCTGTCTCTCCTCTCTCCCTCTCTTCCCTGCTTCTGTCTCCCTCCCCTTCTCCTCCCTCTCTCCCTGTCTCTCCTCTCTCCCTCTCCTCCCTGTTTCTCTGTCTCCCCCTCTCCTCCCTCTGTCCCTGTCTCTCCTCCCTGTCTCTCTTTCTCTGTCCCTCTCCTCCCTGTCTCTCTCCCTCTCTTCCTCTCCTCCTCTCCTCCTCTCTCCAGGAGTGGATCCAGTCTTTGTTCTGCTGATCTTTGTGCTGATCACAGGCCTGGCTGTTGGAGGGGTGGCCTTGGCTTACTTCCTCAGGTAGGGGTGTCCCTGACACACTCACACTGCCACACACACAGTCACATTGACACACTTACACACTGACACACACACTCACACTGACACACTCACTGACACACTTACACACTGACACACTAACACTGATGCACACTCACTGACACACGCTGTCACACACTAACACACTAACACTGACACACTAACACACTGTCACACACACACTCACTGACACACTGACACACACTGTCACACTCACAATGACACACTCACGCTGAAACACTCCCACTGACACACGCTGGACTGCTGGGACCAGGTCAGACCCACTGCTGCCATTCTCACTGTTCAGGAGGAGGATCCAGCAGTCCCAGCTGATGAAGGGTCCGAACAAGATCCTGCTGACCCTGGACGACCTGGTGTTCATCAACGCCCAGCTCAGCAAGAAGGTCAGTCAGAGCAAGAGGCAGGGCTGTCTCAAACTAATACCCCAGAATTCCCTCTCCTTCCCAGTGTGTGCTCACAGCTCCTGTCACAGCCTGAGCAGCAGGCAGTGTTCCTGTCTAATACTACTGCTATACAAGAAGAAGAAGAAACCTGTTCCCACAGCTCTGTTGGCTCACTGAGAGAGATATTGAAGAGTTTCTGCTCACACTGGTCCCACCCCTCGGTGTCTCCCTCTCTCTGTGCTGTAGAAGATGAACGAGGACAGCGTGACAGGAAGGAGTCTGTCGGACGTGAAGAGCAACAGGACACCCCGTCACTCAGTATCCGGGCGCAGCCTGACGGCCGCCACACCAGAGAGCTCCAACGTGGCCATCTACGAGGTGACCGGGGGGCGACAGACCTTCAGCAGGGGATATAACACCTGGGTTATGGGGCTGGAGACATTTTGAGTAGGGTACAATACTCTGGGTCATGTGGCAGAAGAAGATAAGGGGTATATACATTACTTTGGGCATTGGAAAAGGACTGTCCAGGCTGGGAGCAGGCCGTAACACTGTGGACAGTATATATACTGTGGAGTATTAAACCAACTTTACTTGGGTTCTGGGTAACAATATTCTGTTGTTGGGGATGATAGATCTGTTACTGTGTTGTTGGGGTGGGAGAAGCCTGTTCCCAGGGTATTTTAGTCCATTTGCTTATATACAATCCCCTCACCTGGAGAATGCTAGTCTGTTACTGGGCCGTAGTACTGTGTGCTGCTGTGGTAGAGTTACCCTGAGCTCCTGGGGCAGAGTGGTCTTTACTCCCGCCTCCTGCCCTTTCTCCAGGGCGACTGGGTCTGGCTGAAGAAGTTTCCTGTAGGAGGAAAAAACATGGAGATCAAGCCCACGACCAAGACTGTCTTCTGCAAGGTGAGCGGGCAGTGCAGGGAAGGGGGTGACTGTGGTGAGAGGGACGGCTGTGATTGTGGTGAGAGAGACGCCTGTGACTGTGGTGAGAGTGATGGCTGTGATTGTGGTGAGAGAGATGGCTGTGATTGTGGTGAGAGAGACGGCTGTGATTGTGGTGAGAGAGACGCCTGTGACTGTGGTGAGAGTGATGGCTGTGATTGTGGTGAGAGAGATGGCTGTGATTGTGGTGAGAGTGATGGCTGTGACTGTGGTGAGAGAGACGGCTGTGACTGTGGTTAGAGAGACGGCTGTGACTGTGGTGAGAGCGACGGCTGTGACTGTGGTGAGAGTGACGGCT